ACAGACAAGACAGACAAGACAAACAAGACAGACAAGACAGACAAGACAGACAAGACAGACAAGACAGACAAGACAGACAAGACAGACAAGACAGACAGACAGACAGACAGACAGACAGACAGACAGACAGACAGACAGACAGACAGACAGACAGACAGACAGACAGACAGACACACACACACACACAGCTCACGGCATGCAGCCTCGTTGGAAATGCTCCTCAACAAAGGTGTCTGCTGAATCGTTGAACGTGCGACCTGGGCCGTTGGATGCATGGAAAACGTGCAGGCAATTCATGTCAGTTTTAACTTCGGATGAGACGCGGACGGCCCATGCCAGGTTACAAAGATCACGCAGAGCGAAGTCCGCTAATCGTGTCTTTGCATGCCTCCGACATCTCCGTCGACAACGGCGGTATAACAGCTGTACGCACGAAGATGCACTAAGCACGCCGCGGCAACAATGTCTCGAACAAGGGCGACCCCGCCTGCATCCCCACAGCACCCACACGGCCACAAGCATCTCGCGCAAGGTTTCGGCGAAGCCTCCGTCGCTGTCGCTGCCAAGTATAGGACGTTGGCCACATGATGCGGCATGAGCCTTCAGGCTCGCTTGCATGCAAACAGTAGCCCACAGCCCACATTGCCTAAGCTGCATGTTGGACTGTGCCCACTGCCGCCAGGTCACTGTTCGTTGATTGCGTTGTGGGGTTGTGCCACCCGTGCTTTCACGGCATCGCGCAAACTGGCAAGAAAGCAAGCAAGCAGGCAACCAAACGAGCAAACCCACTCGTTCTGCGGCAAGCTCGGCGCTGCCAAGTCAACGCGCCTCGAAAGCATCGCCGGATCCGCAAGCTCCAGCCTGATACATTGTTGTTTCATGAAACAGCTCGAGTGCGCCCATAAAATCCACGGATATATTTCAGCTTCCTACCATTTCAACTGTCACCTTCGTCCGCCAGGCGGCGATCCAGCACGAACCCGACCAGTGCACGGTTAGGCCGGAAAGATGCACATCAAAACCATCGAAGTACAGAGCGAGACCATGGCGATCAGAGGCCTCTTTTTACGAAAGCTAGTCCGCGGCCGGCGATCGCCTCATTGAGTCCCCCTTCGCGCCCGTTCATGAAGGACAGTATCGAAAGCACGGTGCAAGGCGAAACTGCGATCCCGACGACGACCGCGCACGTGCGGCTAGCTTGCCTCCACAATGCGACAAGCCTGGTTTGTGATGGACGACGTTGGCGCCGAGCAGCATGTCGGAGAAGGGCTGTCGTGTTCGCAGACAGCATCATACTATGCATCAGGCCCGCATGTCGGCATACTGCCTCATGAGCTGCCGCCCGAGCTGGTGAGCCAGCCAGGATGGGCAGCTGGGCCGACGCGCGTGCCTGCGGAAAAGGCGGGACAAAGCAGGGCACCTGCTTCTTGCAGCAGCGCGCGGACGGCGAAGCTTGCTCCTCACCGCATAGATGTTTGTCTCAGGTCCGAGTCTCTCGCCGCAACGGCTGCTGCGGCTGGGGCATGTGTTGTGATTCAACGTCCACTGCGGCACCGAGCAAGGCGGGACCGAGCCGACGCAAACAGATCACGTCTCGAACACCCCCATGCTCGAAAGCACTCTTATATTCGCCACGCTCAGCACAACCAGGCGCTCAGCTGCAGCCAGCGCGGCCCCGTCTTCGTCAACAATGCGCTAAGCCATCTTTAGACAGCGACGCAGATGGCGTGCATGTACCGGGAGGTTTCCTATGGTTGCGACCAGGAACATCGAGGAACTGCCTGCGGGGCGATGGGCGCGGAGGCAGCACGGAGCTTGCGGCAGGCCTGCTCGCATCTCGTGATGTAGCGGGGGGTTCATCATCGCGACGAGGCAAGCCGCGGAGCCGATGCATGAAACGAACGCATTGCGTTGGATCTTACCTCGTCTGCTCGACCTGCTGAACGCAAGCTAGGGCCGCAAGGTCAGGCGGCTCTGGCCGGCACGGGCCGCGCCAACCTTCGGTTGGGCTGCTGACGCCAGGCGCCACCCAGTGCCGTGCTGGCAACGGCGTGCTGCACCGAAACCAACCGAAGGTACGGAAAAAAACAAACAAACATGCTCCACCACGCCTAAACCAACCCGCGGTCGCTGCCGCGCGGACGGCAGGCGGGGTTCGGTATTATAGCCGTCTTGAATCCTCCAGACGATGCACCGGGTCTCGCACAAAGCAGCGGGCCTGGGCATTCCGGCGGCCGCCCACCTCCAAACCGAGCACAACTTGACCAGCGTTTGTGGCCCGCCGCGCAGTATGCGCCGCGGCGCTTGGCCACCCGCAGCACCGGGGCCGTCCACGGCCGCTGTGGTGCCACTGTGGCGTCGCAGAATTGCGCTCCTCCGCTGTTCAACGGCCCATACACAACGAGGACGAGCCTGCGACGGTCCTGCGCTGCGACATGCGGGGCGGTGGTGTGGGCCATGCTCGTTCCGCGATCGTGGGAAGTCCAGCACGCGGGCACGCGAGTGCGTGATCGCCGAAGCGATCTTCCGAGTCACGAAGGTATGCAGCACATGACGAAGCCCAGGGAAACGCTGCAGGCCACGATGTCGCGGGCCGCGCTGGTTCAATGTCATCCCTGGATGTTCTCCGTGCGGACGTTGGCGCGACGTGGCTTTCACCCATTTTGTCATGGACATCCAGCCCATCACGGGTTTCAAGTCCGGCCATGTCTATCTAACGGTGCGCTCTACAATGTTGCTTTCTCCTCGTAGCGTGGCGACGGGCATGGACATAATTACCGTTCGCACTTGTTTGTGTTGATGGCTTTGGAGCAGTTGTTTCACGTGCCGTGCTTGCGGCATCGCTTCCAACCAAAGCAAAGTCGATTTACCCGTTGGTCCCCTAAGCCCACGCCGCTTTAGGTTTTTTGCCCTACGTTGAGGATGGGTAACGAGGGGATGTGTCGCCGTACGTCGCCCCCGGCAGTGCAGCTTCGTGTATTGGGTGCATGTGCCGATCGCGCATCCTGTTTCTTCCAAGCATGGGCGTGTGAGCACGGAAGAACAACGTCATCTGCCTAACTTCCGGACCTGCAATGTGCACGGCTGCTCGTGGCCCCGCGACGCTCGGCGGCTTGGGACTCCAATTGGCCGTTCGCGAGCCATGCGGCATTGGGCTTTTTAGGACTCTTCTTTGATTGATTATAATAACAATTTATAGCCTGTTCGGGGACCATGCGGTGGCTTGCCCGGCACGGGCTGCTTGCTTGCCTGTCGGGCCAAACTCGTCGTGGGTCCGCGTGGCACGCGAAAATTGTACCGGGCCGGAAGGGAAGGAAACGCAGCAGTTGCTTACACACACCACGGCCGCTGGGATGGCGTCCAAGGACCGTCGTCCTCCTAACAACACGACGCACATACGCGCATGGTCCGCGGCGTAACTGCTTTGCTGCCATGGCCACACATGTACCAAAACACGTGTTCGATTCAGGTCCATCGACGATCCATGGGGTCACACCACCGACTGGCGTTAAGGTCCTGGGTTCACCAACCACTCCTGGGAGTGTCACGGTTGTCTGTAGGGTCCAGGCAGTCTTACGGTGGTCTCTGGCATTGGGCGCTCCAGGGAGACGGTCGTCTCTGAGGGTGGGCACTCCAAGCAGTCTCTGGAGGTAGTCTCAGCACGTCTTCAGGCCCGAATGTCGTCTTCAGGGCCGAACTTCGCCTTCAGGGCCGAATGTCGCCTTAAGCGCCGAATTGTGTCTTCAGGGCCGAATTTCCTCTTCAGGGCCGAATTTCGTCTTCAGGGCCGAATTTCGCCTTCAGGGCCGAATTTCTTCTTCAGGGCCGAATTTCGTCTTCAGAGGGCCCAAATTCGCCTTCAGAAACGTATTCCGGAGCCTAGAAACGTCTGCCACTGAGGATTTTTCGTCTTCGGGCCGAATTTCGTCTTCACCCCAAACAAGAATTTCGGCTTCAAATTTAGTCTTCGCACACTATTTGAGCTTCAGCTCCTGGCGAACAATTTCGTCTTCAAAAGCTTCNNCTTCGGAATTTCGACTTCAGGGGGGACGAAACCGGGACCCAGTTTCCCGGGTCAATGCTTTTATCCATCTGATGAAAAGCTCAGCAGAAGGGGAGTCCAGTGCCGACATTGGTCCTCTTACAGGATCTTCGATGCGTATCGAGGGCGAGACGCACAGGAGAAGGCGCTGAAAAGCAATGTCCCAATGTGCAGAGCTCTCTCTGCAGAAGTCATAAACGACAGGAGTGGACTCTCGCCATCGCAGCCATCGCAGCCGATACGAAGCCCAGCTTGTGATGGTTTCACCTTCGTGAAACAGCATTCTGGCAAAGCGGTAGTTTCTCTTCGATGCATTTGTGCTTCATGCGAACAGCCGGCGAAACACTCTAAACAAACCTCGCAACGCCAGTGCTGCGAAAAAATCATAAAGACGAGGCGAGTTTCATCCAATCTTCAAAACAGGTGCGGCTCAGCAAACAAACGGCCAAGATTCAAAACTTGCGCGGCAAGTCGTCACGCACCTGCTCTCCGCTTGCGTCACTCGGAAGGCTTAACCGACTTAGTAACCCAATATACCGCCTTGTTTGCCTGACTGACAAACAGGAGATCAACCTGCAGCAGCAGCTGTTAGAAACCGCTGGCATAACAAAACTTCATGGAGTGCACATTGAATTCGTTCTAAACTTTGGACCGAAACAAGGGAAGAGAAGACGAGCAACGGCGCCTCGCCTCGGGGTGTAATCTCAAAATCCGTCTGGCGCAGACTCCAAACACACCAAGCCCACTGACGCATGCGTGGTCCTGCGTGGTTTCCACGTCCTCAAGGTCGAATTTTCTCGCCAGAGGACAAGCCTTGAGCGATGCGCCGGCTCAAGGCAGCCTTTTGTGCGACAAATATTGCTGATCGTTTTTCGCGGGGTGGGTCCTGCAAGAGAAGACTGAAAAACAAAGGTTTGTGACAGTCTTTGCCTAGCCATTGGAGATCCATATGCCGCATATGCTGCCACTTGCTGCAATCTATGCTGCACAGTGCGGCAACAGCATCGTGCAACACTGCAGGCTTGCCTTGCAAACGCCCAAGCCGTTGAAGACAACTCCTGCGAAAGACCCACCACTCAGGACACATTCCTCGCCGTAGTACTCGTCTCTCAGGTTCATGAACAAGTCTCTTCTTTGATGTTCTTGAGTCTGCACTCTCGAAAGCGTATGAGTCCCTCGGAGGCCGGACTTTAAATGTTGGCCTCCCGCACTGCGACCACTGCAACAACGAGCAGCCCCGAGAGACCGACAACACCTAGATAAGACATGCCTATGGCCTATCTGGGTTCTCAGGATGCATTGCACAGCCGGGTCGCAAGAGTACTCCGGTAGAAATTGAACGCAAAGGATTGAAATCCTAGCTGGATGCAGTGGCACATGCCACGCTCCTCCAGGCATTGCAAAAAAAACTACAGGCCTCTGAGCTGCATAATTTACAGCTCTGCAAAGACCTCTTTGGCAGCGGCGATGGTTTTCCTTGGCAGCACGGCACATTGTGAGCGCTTCCTTCCAGGTTGCTTGCAGAGAACGTTGTTCTGCCAAGGCACTCAATGTCCTCCTCTGTGTGGGCAAGCGATGTGAAACCCGCTTCGTATTGTGAGGGTGCCAAATAAATCCCCTGTCCGGGGGACCAGGGACGACAGCTCATCTATTGCTGCGAGAGATTGATGCTTGAGTGTTACCAAGCTGCAAGCCGCCTTCTTCAGCATCATTCTGTGCCACTTAGCAAACTTCTCGGTGTCACTCTTTGTGGCATCCGCGAAGCACGTGACGGGACCCTCGCAAAAGAAGAAGCCGAACATGCCGCTGATGTGACCACCGCAGACCTTCACACGACGGAACAAGCAGCACGCTGGCAGAACCACAGCAAGTTACGGAATTGCGCTGCCAAGGACAATCAGTATCGCATTCCCGGCGCCTCGTGTCCATTCTCTCGTGCCGCATCTAGAATGCCTAGGTGAGAAAGTACAGATGATGGTTGGCTCAGCACTTGCAAAGCGCATCTCCTAGCCCCACCTCCGAGCGAGAAGACATCGGCTTAATGCATTCAGATTCGCACATCGCAAGCAAGTTGCCATTGATGAGCTTGCTTGTGATTTTATCGAGGTACTCGTAACTGCCAGGCTCCTGTCCAGCAAACTCCGAAGGCACACACGACTCGGTTGGCATGTGATTAGATGGAGCTTTGCCGCAACTGTCCTTCAACCTCTTCAGCGTCTCGATTCCGGCTGTCATGGCAAGAGGGTTGCCGCTGAGTGTTCCGGCCTGGTACATGGGCCCTGCCGGCGCTACCATCTCCATGATGTCCTTCCGGCCGCCATAGGCGCCGACTGGCAGACCGCCTCCGATTACTTTACCTGCCAGGAACCCTGTTGCTTGACGCTACACATGGTTTAACCATGGGACGTGGAGTGGGCTGGACTTCAACAAAAAGAACAGCCAGGGAGGGTCTACAAGTCGTGATGGCGCACAGCTGAATGCAAGGCACCCATCGTCGTGACATCTGGAGTCACGCCGAAATGCTCCTGGGCGCCGCCATAGGCAATGCGGAAGCCGGTCATAACTTCGTCAAAGACCAGCAGTGCGCCGTACTTAGTGGTCAGTTCTCGGAGGCCTTCAAGGAATTCCTTGGTGGGTGGGATGAAGCCCGAGTTTCCGACAACGGGCTCTAAGATGACAGCCGCCACCTCATTTTCCTTCAAGAGCTCCTCGACGGATTCCAAGTTGTTGTACTGTGCACACAAGGTGCTGGTGGTTGCACCCTTGGGAACGCCCGGAGAGTCCGGTAGTCCAAGCGTAGCGACACCAGAGCCGGCTTGCACCAAAAAGGCATCGCCATGGCCATGGTAGCAACCCTCGAACTTGATGACCACATCCCTTTTCGTGAAGGCTCGGACAAGGCGGAGCATTCCCATGCAGGCCTCCGTCCCGCTGTTGGTGAAGCGCACCATCTCTACAGAGGGCACAGCATCGATCACCATCTTAGCCAGTTCGTTCTCGAGAGCACAAGGTGCGCCGAAGGAGGTGCCCTTCTGCATCTGTTCGTTCAGTGCTTTCAGAACCGTGTCATCTGCGTGTCCGATGATGGCAGGGCCCCAAGTTCCGACATAGTCAATGTACTCATTTCCGTCGACATCCCAGGCATTGGCGCCTTTCACACGGTCAAAGACAACTGGGTTGCCTCCAACTGACTTAAAGGCGCGAACAGGGCTGGACACTCCACCCGGCATGAGCGTCTTTGCCTCAGTGAAGACTTCCTCTGACTTCACGGTGTCAAAGCCACCACGGGCCTTCTGTTGTGTGCGGACGCGGCGGCCCCCCTTCCCCGAACCCACAGCCACCGCCATGCCGGCGGCAGCAGAGGCCAAGACAACACTGGAGGAGCTTGAAGATGTGGATGGCACCTGGCTTGAGATGTGAGATGCCCTGAGGTGCCCGGGGTTGTCTTGCTTTCCCGCAGCTGGCACGAAGGCACTTTGCAGTGCTCCAGATGCGTAAGCACCAGCACCAATTGCGCAGAAAGCTGCAATCTCAGTCTTCATCCTGGCTACGAAGCACAAACTGAGATTGCCTGCAAAACTTCTACGCCAGTGGGCTAATGGTCAGCTATCTCGAGCCACAGTGCAATGGCAAGCATTGCAAATCCATCAGCATTTATGCAGCAGACGGCGTCAGACAGCGTTATATCTGTATACCGTATTCCAGTAACAGGTTCTACTGCACTGCTGCCATACTGCACAGTCCTGCGACGACATGTCCCGTGCTTTCTCGACCACAGCATCTTGCAACGCAGCAAGGAGAGGACCATCGTACCTCGTAGCTGTAGCAACTGAACACCCAATGATAAAGCAGATGCTGATCGAGTGTATGACACCTGAAGCCTCGCAAATGCCCAGCAGGAAGTCGTGAGTCTTGGCCAGCAGCAGTTGAAGCACAAAAGCGCTCCACCGCTCCGCAGCTGTCAGCTCTGGTAATCCCTTTTCACAGTCGGACCCAAGACCATGATGTCAGAGCACGAGGCGCTCAAACTCAAGCAGCTCAAGCTGAAGGCACTCAGGTTAGGTCTGCTTCATGTCCAAGCGTCTCCCCGGCCTCGAGACTCTCAGGAAGTCTCTGTGAACGGCAGCAAAAGTAAAAAAAATACTTTTGCACAAAAACCCGAGTCCTGTGCACTAGGGACTTCCGGTAGATATCCAGAATGCTGCTGATCCTCCGGTCCTGCAAGTTCTAGCATAACGGCACCCAACAGCTGGAAGCTAAGTGCAATCATCGTCCTTGCCATTCGCCTTAAACTCGGGGTCTCGCGCCAGCGTCTGGAGAGCCTTGTCTCAGTCGTCAACCATGCTATGAAGGATCGGTTTGCACATGTTGTCGTGCTGCCAGCAACATGCAGCTTGCATTCTGCGAAGTACTGGATGCTGGTGCTACCTGCAACATATGATCCTGCATCCAGTTTGGAATGGGCCCGCACAGCCACGGCCCCATCAAGGGTCATGTGTTCGGCACAGTGGTCGGCAACCTTCAAAATCTGCCCAACCTGCATCCAGGTCCCAATTGCAACTGCAGAAAGTAACTTAAGTACTGTTTGACCCAGCCAGCTCTTTTTTCCGAACGGACAATGCAAGAGCCTTGCCAGCGAAAACCGGTCAAATGCAGCATTCCTCCCTCATCTGGGAGTGGCCTGGCATTGCGCAAGTTGTCGTTTAACCTCAGCTAACTCCTGCCATTCTTCCCGTTATATGGACCGGATGCTAGAAACAACTATGCCACTTCAAAGCACATCCTTGCCCTTGGACGACGCATTACTGAGACTGCAACCTGCTGGGAAAGCTCTCGCTGAGCAGCTCCACCGCGCAAATTCCGCAGCCCGCCAACCTGTAATGCTCACTTTCCATCACCGCGGCAGAAACAGAAGCAGCTGGCCTGCGAGAAACGGCCCAGCTTGTGTCCATGATCATGCCGACCTCGCGATGAAGTCGACGAAGCCGAAGTGCCGTCACAGCCTGCAGGTCATTGCCTAAACTCTGCCATGGGAAGCCAATGAGACTGCGTGATCGTGTGCCTGGCAACTTGTCACGATGCGGTGAGTCGTGCTGATCCCTGAGTACATGCGCAACAAATGAAACTCGAAGCAAACATTCGGCGCAGAAACAAGAAAACGTGCCTGCTCATCGGAGTCCAACTCGGCTTGTCTCATACCATCGGCCTTTGCTCAAAGATTCAACTCATATCCCGCACGTTAGACGAATCCGTCTAAGCAAAAAGTAAGTTTGGGGCCGATTGCCGAAGACGACTCCCCATTCAAGACTCCTGTCAGAATGCAATGAACCTGCACAGTGGCATACTACAGGGTGCGAGCAGTCCTCGCATGAAGCGGCAACGACAACAGCATCCTGCATTCAACCAAAGCCACAACACTGCAACTAACAACTTGCAACAACTGATCTCAACGCATGCATGGCAACTGTTCCCCACAAGGCTGCTGCACCTCCGCTGCATTATTGCGACATATCACGACTTCCCAGGCACATGTAGGTCCCACATTAATGACCCCGTGTTGATGTACTTGACTCGCTTTATGTTTGACCTGTTTGACTCAAAAACCTGCACACAGTAGCCTTAACTACTGTGCTAACATTTTGTTCTGGCCTGGAATTTGTGCCCAAAAAATGCTCTCAGGCTGAACAGCCAGCACCGCATGGCAACAATAGCGAACAACAGCCACGCACAAATTTCAACACCAAACACAGAAGATTGCCGCAGCAAACACTTCCCAAACCGCAGCACATCACGCAATGTAAAAATCCAACTTTGGTGCATAGAAAGCGTGTGCCGCGTGTGGGGAATTCCAGGAGCTCGCCTGCAAAAGCCCTACCCTGTTCTCGTCCATAGAAATGCTGCCAGCTTGTGGCGGCGTGTTGTGCCAACTTCCTGTGTGCGCACAGCGCTTTTGTGAGTTTGAATTTCCTGTGCGCGTTCCAACGAAAACAACGTCAACCCGCCAGGCTGAACTGAACAATGCAGATTTTGCCGTCTAAAATGTTAGACGTACAGAACACAAAAGCTCGGTAACATGCAACATTAAAGTTGCAACTTTGGTGAAGACTCCGAAAATTCCGAAAACGATCATACTGAACAAAATGAACAATGAGCATTTCGCACAGCTTCTATTTTCAGAGCTTTTGACAATCAAAATAGCAACCAAGAGCCGAACAACCGTTGAAGCGAAACGATTGGGAGTTCGGAAATAACAAATGACCAAAACAACCGCCAAATGTGTCTTGATTGTTTTTGGCTCGTTTTGAAAACGATGAAGGCAGAAAACACAAATCAATAGTTGAACAATCGGAACATGTGAGATTGATGCAACCTGCACATTTGTCATCGCGCTCGCCTGCATAGCCATGGGCAGCTTGGCCAACTTACCAAGTCGATAACGTGCTGCTTCTTTCCGGGTGTTTTTACAAAATGAAGCCTGGACTGTGCGAGTAGCGAGCATCGGACTCCAAGTGCAAACATGTTTGCACATGTGACATGACATTTAAACGGTTTCAGCTGCGGCAGTGGTAGTTAGGTGCAAAACTATGTGGAATCGCATGGTTCTCGCTGGCAGACGTTTCTGATCTGTCCCAATGTTCAATTCCAAGACCTAGAAGGTCAGCTCACGCTCGCGCAAAACAACACAAGTCCATGTCCTACCCTGGGAGATCGTTTTTTTCCTACCCGTGTCTCTGTGGAACACAGCCTGTGCCTGCACCTGCTCAGCCTCAAACATGCCTCCGGTCTGGTTTTTTTTCTCTCTCTCTCTTTCTCTCTCTTTCTCTCTCTTGAGAGCGAAAAGCGAGTCCAAGTCTAGACCATTTATTTGTCAGCAGCCCTATCTAGCAAGCAGGCTCCTTTCTACTGCTACTTGGAGTGCACTAGCTGCCTCCGCCGGGAACGGTTGTGCGATATGGGCTGTAACGTACGGTATAAGCTGGTATTTCAATATCTTGCCGAGAAGGCTGTGAATAAAATCATGGGAATGTTCACCGATGCGGCGCCGAAACATTTGTCGGTAATCATGTGCCGGATTAAAACAGAACCGGCTCTCCACTTGGACTTGATGTCGAAAGAGATGGACGAAATAAACCAATCTGGTAGATTGGATATTCTGAGAAGGGGTTGTAGTTTGGCCATATGCTCATATGTTAATTGCAGCAAATATTCGATGGAGCATTGTTCTTCAGTCGGACGGAGGACGCGGTGGTAGAAGGAGCTTGAACTGTTTTCGCGAAGCTTCATAATGACGGGAATTAAGGCATTGTAGCTGGGATCTGGTATATGTTTGTGATTCCGAACCATTAAAAAAAAGGCTAAAGCTATCTGAACGTTCGTCAAAACTTCTTATTCATGGCCAAACCATGGATGATTTGAGGGGTCCTATCGCCTTACAAGGATTTTGTCATCACAAGCTTCTGTGGAATATCGCTTTGCTCTTGCGAAAGTAAGAAAGAAGACCATCAGACTCACTGATCCTGCTCGTAGCTTGCCCTGCCCTTTTCTACCCGCTGTCCACCGGCAGGAACGAGTCTGCTGGTTGTTGTTTGATGTGTGACATCAAACCTGAGGTTATCCAGCAAGTTTCACGTGAAGCCTATGGCAGGCACTCGTTCAGGCCCCAAGAACCAGCCTCATTTTCGGAGCACCATGTGTTGGGACTGCGTGCATCCAACTGGACTGGCTACACGTTGTCGATACAGGCATTGCCTTGCAGTTTCTAGGGTCCATGATGAACTACTTCTGCTCCAAGCTGGCCGGGAATTTCGAGGATCAGGTTGCCGAGATGTTTCTGGACCACTTGAAACCCTCCATGATCAAGGATCCCGAGAAAATTTCCGAAGCTTTGGGCAAAAGCTGGGGAATCGCGGTGCCTGGCTCCTTGGGCTGTGCAGCTGGCACAAGCCCTAAAGGATGCCGGCAACGAAGTGGAAGATTCCATGTTTCTGTGTGGCTGGCATTTCAACAAATGTTATGAGCAACTGAGCAGCAGTACTTTTGATGCAGCTGCTTTGGCCCAGCATGGAGTTGCATTTGCAAATCTTTATGTCGCTCTGCACGAGGTGCAAGGAGTCCACCTCTTCAAGGTGCATCGTTTCTGCGAGATCAGTTATCGTGGCTGGGACTGCCCCAGTGTGCGTTGGACCTACAGGGATGTTCCAAAGTGGAAACAAGGCTTTGTTCTTCGGTGAAAAACGTCTAAAAAGTTGCTATGTTGGACAGGCGTCGGAGCGCACTTTTTTTTGCACACAAAACTCCTTCGAACGCCTTTGGAATGCCTCGAGCAGGCCCCAGCATGTCTTTTCGGAGCCTGTCAGAGGCTGTTTTGCCGTTTAGTGGCCTCCATTTGCGCAGCAGTCACAGGAGACACAGCGCGACACGGGAGTCGGAAAAACTCTGTGGCTTATTATATAGTGTTCGTTCATTATAAAATAAGCCACGAGCTCTTGTTTCGTTTACTTTGGTATTTTTTGCTTTCACTTCTTTCGTGCTTCATTTCACCACCTTACATTCCACTACAAAGAAGTGAAGAAAGAAAAAGACAAAAATAAAATGAAACAACTGTATGAACCGGATGGTAATGTTGTAGAAGCTGAACGAAGTGTGTTCTTTTCTTTCTTCGTTCACACTGCCATTGTAACAAAAAAGAGAAACAAAGAACACAGGAACTCGCTTCGCTCTCTTTACACCTGTAATCTCAATGGGTCCTGTGGCTTATTATTTTATAATGGAAAATGTAAGGAAAAGTGACACACGATTTTCAAATTTTCCATTGTAAATTAAGCCACAGTGAGAAAGCCACAATAGATTTTGGAAAAAGAAATCATTTGTAACCGCTAGAAAGAACTGGGTGCCGTGTGAATTCAATAAACGAACACACATACGAAACACTTCTTTGTTTCCTTTACTTAAAGTAAAGGACACGGCCTATAGAATTTCCTGGTGGTGAAGAAAAAGAAGAGAAATAATGTACCGAAGAAAAGTGGAAAGTAAGTGTCATAATTGTTGTGCAAAATGTAAATGTTGACCTCTCATTCGTTTCGAGGGGGTGCGCCAGGCGTGGGAAACGGCCTGCCACATGAAACAGCCTGCCGCCTTCAAGAAGATGCAGCAGGCAAAAACGAACAAAGAAAGTGACCAGCACAAGGAAACACAGCGGGCGTCGGGGGGCCAGCAGGCTCTCGGCGCCCTCTTGTACTTCCCAAAACAGATTTGGCACACATGGACCCGATTGGACCCTGGTGCACTTGCCTCACAGCTCAGCTTGATAGTTCTTATCTCGTTGTAAGAGTTTTTGCGCGAGACTGCTTCTGCTCATTTATAAGGTTGGAAGTTTGGCTTCAATTTCAAGAATATAGCTCAGAACAAGACATGGCAGACCACCGTTGAAACTTTCTATTCCGAACCGGTCAACTTTTTTCAAGTGAAGTTTGTAACCTTGTGCAGCCAGAATAGGAGAATTCTGGCCAGTGATAATTTTTGATGTTTTCTTTGTGGATCGCTTGGAAGTGCAAGTTTGCTTTTTGCCAGAGTCATAGCAGGGGCTTGGTTTGACAGAATGTTAAAACATAGTTTGAGATGACAACACCCTTCCTAGAGAGAGAAAGTGTTTCGCACGCAGCAACTTTCAAACAAAAAGAAGTTAGCGGCGCGCAACCCTAAACCCTAACGCCCAAAATCTTGGGACACTCTTGCAGGCAAGCACGCACTCAGTCCAAAAGGCTTGCACACCGTCCAAAAGACACCACCGCTTTCAGGTTGACAAAACGCGGTTTGAAAGTATGGATGCCCACTGACTGCTCCAACGTCTTTCTATCAAAGCTTTCCAAAAACCGCAAACATGTCCTGTCCTCCGAACCAGCGCTTTACATGGAAACGCAGAAGCCACATCAGAGGGCCTGCTGTGTCACGAAAAACAACCTTGACTGGGCGTCAAAACGTGCCCAACTTCTTCAAAAGGCAT